TGCAGCATCTCTTACAGCTGCTGATTTCTTTTTTTCCTTATAGGTTTCACAATAAAGGCCAGTGATGCAGCATACATCTGAAGTTAACTTAGCATATTGCAGAGCTAAGGGTTTAACCCCAATGAACTATTACTGCCATATGTTCCATTTCTTTCAGGGAATTTCCCAATGGGAAAGAACTCAGACAATGCGAAGAAAAAACATCCAATATCATTTGCCCTACAGCTTTTTACTGTTTATTTCTAGTGCTTTTCCCCTCCTCACATGATAATCGCCTTATTGTAGGGACTCATGCTCCAGATGTGGGAACGAAAAGGACTTGATTTAAGATCTACAGCTTGAGAGAGAACTGAAATGCTTTTGAAAATGGTGGAATTACAAAAAGCAGCTTAGGATCCCAAATCACTGGCAAGACAGAGCAAAGCCTCAACAGTCATACATTAAAAAAAACGACTCTAATAATTTTCTCTCGTGTAGCTCAAGCTGAGGACAGATTCTCAGAGCTCTGGGTTTTTTCCAGCTGAGAGTTCTTGCACGTATCCCAGCATCAGTGTAACAGGCACAAACATCTCAGTGTTGCAGGTTGAGGCTCCTGTTAACGAGATGATGCCAGGGACTGGACCTGAGCTTTTGTGCCATCCCTGCTGCACGGCTCACCTTCACAGCCTACGGCAACGGGTTAAAATTCAGACTTCTGTAATTCAGGATCAGTTTACCAGACACCAGCTGTGCCTGAGCTACTCGAAGCTTGTGTTCTGAATCATTCTCTTATCTATTTGTAGATAATACAGAATCACGTTTCCACGGTTTAGCTGGAATCAATCAAATAAAAATTATGGAAAAAAAAAGATTTGTAAAGGGATTGAGGAAAGGTTACTTTTAAATTACGTTTCAAATTCTGTTCTGAGAGGATTTGGTTATCAAATCCCAGACTCATAACTCACCCTCACCAAGCACACCATTCATTTCCCAGTCAAATAGGATTGGATTCATCTCACAGAACAGAAGAGGAACGGCACGGCATGCCCCAGCACATCTCACGGCTGCTCCTGCAGCAGCAGGGCCTGGCCTGGGCTGAGCACTGACCTCTCCATCGCTGTCAGAGATAACAATAAAGGCGTCCACAAAGCTGCGCTTCTTCTTGGCACTGGCTGCACGCCTCTTCTCTTCCTCCTCTTCCTCTCCATCCTGACCTCGAGAGTCAGGGCCCTCCGCGGTCTTCCTTCTCCTTGGCATCCCTGAAACAGAGGGAAAGACTAAAAGCCATTTGTTTCCCTCTCACTTAGATTTCCCCTAATAAACAGCCCTTTCTTTTACTATTTTTAGGCAAAATACAGCAGCCATTAGAACCTTATTACAAAGTGTGGTACATTTAGCAGTACTGGGAGCCACACGTGCTTGTCACCACTCGTTTAGTTAAGAATACTTTATTAGAGCTGATTGCAAAAAGGGTTTCAGGGGAACAGCAACAGACAAGTGCCTCGCCCAGAGCCCTTGCTCCAACAGAACGCGGCTTTCCTCTTCGCTTCAACCATTAATGCTCCCCAGCAAGCTGCCCAAAGCACTGCTCCCAGCACAACCCCAGGCTTCCCATCCCCACACAGCCCTGGTGCAGAACACATTTGGACAGGGAGCCGAATCAAGCCAAGGGGACCGGGAGGAGAGGACCAGGATGAGGACAACAGCAAGTAAAGCAACAACGGCATTCAGTGCTTCCTGAGCTGGAAACCAGGGAGCCCTACGAGGTGGCTGAGCACCATCAGCTCTGGTTTTGCTGGAAGGAAGCGTGCAGGGCAGTGAGCAAGGAGCCCCTCGTCACACACAGACAGCGCAGAGCTGGAAATGCAGCCCGGGTTGGCCGGCTCCCAGACCAGTGTCCTTCCCAGGATCCCTCTGCCTTCCTTCACGAGCACTGAAATAGCTCAACTGTGCTGCCGAGGTCTAAAATAAGAGGCAGACAAGATGCGACAAAAGACCCTGCGTTACACAATGCAGAGCCAAACCCTCCTCTGTAGCATCGCAGAACCGCAAACAGCCGCTACACGTGGAAACGCTGCGAGCAGGAAGTTCAGAGCCACACTGGCACTACAGAACAGGGGCGCACTCCCCTCCCTACAGCCAGGCAGCGCTCGTCCAGGTGGGACAAAGAGAAGGACATGTGCTGCCTCTGGATTGCTGCAGCGGGTAGAGCTTCCCGCGCCTGTCTGCTCTGCACACATTGGTGTGGAGACAAAAGATGATGACCCGGTGAGCAAGGATTTGCACTGAAGACTTGCTGAGCCTCTAAAGACAGAATATTGTATGAACTGCACGCACAGCTCCAGAAGCAGCTGCAATCATCACTGCAGTCCCGAAACGCTTGTCTGTTTGGGATGGGAAAGTTAAAACAAGCGCTGCTCTATAGAGAAGCTCTTGCAAAACAAAGCTGTTCTGCTCCAGCTGAGCTGAACCCTGGCTGTTGTTGGAATACTGTGGTCACACTTTCTCTGTTTTTCATCTTTTGCTCCAGGTGCTCTCTTTGTCCTCTGCCCAGCCGGCTTCGGGGAACCGCACCCCATTATCAGCAGAACACACAGGGGTTTCAGCAGGCTGCAGCTGAGCCTGGGCACAGTCACTGCTTTTGGAGTCGTCAGTGGCAAAACGCAGCACACAGCAACAAGGAACTGCAAAGCGTTTCTGTTAAAATCCGTGCTGGTATCACCAGCTTCCCCCTCCACTCAATGCACTGTGCTAAATAAGAGATCACCGAGCAGTATCAGCTGGAGTTACGATGAGTCACCTACCTCCAACATTTAGAAAGGGGGAAAGAAAAAGATGTAAAAGATGTAACCACACAACTCCCACAACGCTGCTGAAAATGAAGGGAGTTGTGGCAAAGAGCCTCTCTGTGAATGTAACTAAGGGAACAAGACAAGGAGAGATCACTTGTAGCTGTGCGAGGCTGTGAGTAGGAGAGCAGTAACGGCTTTTATTAGCCCAGCTGATAGAGCTGAAGAAAACAAGCAGCAGAGCACACCCCCAGGTAAGGAAGCGTGCATAGAAGCTGCATTTTGCTTTCAGCACTTCTGCAAAGGACGCTGCTGGTATCCACTGCGCCAGTGTCTGCTTTCAGACAGTGAAAGAAAACCTGAATTGGCCAAACCTACCTCTGCCCGTTGTCTCCCAGACTCGTTTTCCAATTTTTCACTTTTTATGACTTTAAGAGAATTTCTTCGCAAATGCTCTGGCAGCAAAGGTGACCCCCTGACAAGGGGCCTCGCACACGCCACGCTTCCACAGGCACATTTTTAGGGATATCCTTGAAGATCCCCAACTTGTGATTATTTGTCATTTTCCCTCTCATCTATCATTTTGATGAATCAGAAAGCAATTACCGACAGAATAATTCTAAATCTTGACACTGCAGCTCCAGACCTGCCAAGCTGTGACAGCTTGAAAAATGCTTGAAAACAGAGCCAAAAATGAATGACTCTCATCCCCGGATGAGTTTTGGAGCCGCTCGAGACTCAGGCTGGCGTGGTAAACAACCCCTCCTGCTCACACGGAGGGCCGTGGTGCCGCCAGGCACACAGCAGCGCCGCGCACGCAGCTCAGCGCCACGCAGCGCTCCCCGCAGCCACCGGCCCGGACCCCCCACGCTGGGAGCAGCTGATGCTCTGCGACGTGACGGCCTGCAGCACCCCGTGGGGACAGGAGGCGCTCGCAGGGCTCGTCCACAGAATGGCTTTTTGCAGGAAGGGCCGCGGAGGCTGAAGGCACGGCTGAGCCCTGCGCGCTGCTCAGCTCCTCCAAACAAGCCTGTTACAGCTCCGCCTCCTGCAGAAGTGCCCCCCGCTCCCCCAGCGCCCACCGGAGGCACCCCGTGCCCCGACACGGCTGCTCTGCCATCCTCCCGACCCGCGGCCACACGGATAGGGTCGGGGCTCCTCCAAAAGTGTCACCCTGCGAGCTCGCAGCGGCGTGTCGGAACGGGAGTGGCCGCCGCTGGGCGAAACGAGGGGACGGGCACAGATGCGGCTGCTGCAGGGGAACAGGGCCGGGGCGGCCCCGCGAGGGGCAGGGGGGCAGGATCCAACCCGGCGGTACCGCAGGGGACGGGGACGTGCGGTCCGGACCTGAGCCCCGGGCCACCATCAGGCTGCGCGGGCCGCCGCGGGACACAGCGGTGGGGCGATGCCGGAACCCCGGACCCGCTCGGTACCGCCGCCAGCCGGGCCCCGCCGGCGCCGCCCGGGATCAAGGCGGCTCCGGGCTCACCCCGAGGGAAGGGAGCGGCCCCGGGTTCCCCTCGCGGAGAGGCGGCGGCCCAGCTCCCGACGAGCCCCCGGGCGGGGCAGCGGCCCGCAGCACTGCGGGAGGCCCCGCGGGACGCCGCCGGCCCGGGACCTGCCGGAACCCCTCGCGCAGCCCCCGATCTGCCACGCGGCCACGGAACCGCCGCCTCCCGCCACCCTCGTGCCGCCCCGAGCCGCGCTCAGCGGGTCTCTTACCCGCACTCAAGTTACGGAGGAGGCCTCATTGCCCTCACTCAACATGGCGGCAGCGGCGTCGCGTCACGTGGGAGGCGGGAGGGCGGGGCGAGGCGGGCGGCGCCATGTCGCGTGCGGGCGGCGGCGGGGCCCGAAGGCAGCGTGGGGAGCGGGAAGGAACGGCGCCGCCTCCTTCGCTCGGAGCCCCTTGGGGCCAGCCGGGATGCCCTATTTTATGTCCCGGTCGAGTTCACACGGGGAAAAATGTAGCGGTGTCGCATCACTGAATTGCGGTCTTCTAGCCTCAAATAAAAAAAAACATCCAACGTCCGTCTCACGCCACGCCTCTCCGCGTGCAGCGATCACGGCGACAAATGGCGCCGCCGCGCAGCCGGGCACGAAGCGAGCCCGCCTCCCCGCCGCCCTTAACCAACATGGCTGCCGCCGCCTCGCCCCGCCAGCACGTGCCGCGCGCGGCGCTCCCGCGGGGAGCCGTCCGGCCCCGCCCGCCGTCGCTAGGCAACCGCGGCTCTCGCGAGAGCGACGGGGGCGGCCAAGATGGCGGACGGGGCGGGTAGCAACGGGGACGCCGCGGCGCTGCCGGTGGGCAGGGAGGCAGGTGAGCGGCCCGGGGCGGGGGAGCGGCCCGGCGGGCGGCCCCGGGGGGGCGGCCGGGCAGAGTCGGAGCGGTTCGGGCTGAGCGCGGCGTGTGTTGGCAGTGGAGCGGCTGATCCGGGAGAACGGGCACATCTTCACCGAGGCGCAGTGCAAGGTGTGCAGCGCGTTGCTCATCTCCGAGTCGCAGCGCCTGGCGCATTACCAGGTGAGCGCCGCGCCGGGCGGGGCTGCGGGCGGCCGGGCAGGGCCGGGTAACGCTGTCACTGCCCGCAGAGCAAGAAGCACGCCAACAAGGTGCGGAGGTACCTCTCCATCCACGGCGAGGAGGAGCTGGCGGCCGGGAAGAAGATGAAGCTGGACGCCAAGGTGAGACGAGGGCCGGGCCTGAGGGGTCGTGGGCTGAGCTGCGCGCTGCCGGGCTGCCCTTCTGTTCCCTTGTGCTCTTAGAAATAAGCCGTGTCGGTGAGTACGGCTCCTGTCGCCTCGCCCTCCTAAAGAACTGCACGTTGCCTCCTACTGAAAGGCCCTCTGAGAAGAGCAGGGGAGCAGCAAGCTGCCGGGAATATCGCTGTGTGCGACATCTCATTTCACTGGCAGCGCAGTGCAGGGTGCACGGTTTGCTGGATTTTGTTTTGCACTTCTTAAGTTTTATTTCTTGGTCAGTAAGGAACACGCCTGCCAGCTGTCTGCTCCGTGACTCATTTGGGAAACAGATTCTACTTCTACGATTGCTTCAGCTTTGGTCCCTAACCCTCATAGGTTTGTTGTATGGATGGAGGGGAGGATGAAGGAGGTTGCCTTCATGCAGTGCGAGGCCTAACAGACTGCTGCTGCCTGCCCAGCTGGCATTGCTGATGGCCCAGCTGATAGCAGCACTTGTGCTCCTTAGCTCACACCTTAGAGAGCAGGGGTCAGATCGGCTCCTGCTGCCGTGCAGTTAGCCTTGTGCTGGGTCCATGCAGGCCCTGACATCTCCTCTACCTGAAGTGTTTCACTGAGACTGAGAAAACCAGAGTCTGAAGCAGGAACACTGTCTGGTGAAGGAGAAGATGATGCTGTGCCGTGGAAGTCCCATTCAGTCAAACAATAACAACTTCAACTTCACATTCAGTATCTCTGAAGATTTAGTTTCTTGAATGCCTTAGAATTCCTCCTAGTAACAAACTTTCCAACCTCAGCCACTCTGTGGTTCTGTGCACACAGGAGAGCAAGCAGGAAGGCACCAACGGGGAGGACAGGAACAAATGTTGTCCCATCTGTAACATGACCTTTTCTTCTCCTGCTGTGGCCACGTCTCACTACCTGGGGAAGACTCATGCCAAGAATGTGAAGCAGCAGTCCCCTAAAGTGGAAGGTAAGTCTGTCTGCAGTGCCTTTGTGTTGTGAAGCTCAAACTAGGAAAATGCTGCATGTAATGGTTTTCCATTGAGAGGTGCCATTGGACATGTCATCCTTTTTGTGTGTGTGTGGTCCCTGAAACAGGGAAAGCCAGCAGTGTGCCTCCAGATCCACAGCCTTTATCAGCAGCGTGCTTGGTAGAATGGCTTGGCTAAATGTTCCTGCATGCAAGGAATGGGACAGAGCCCGTTGTTGTTCATGCAGCTGTAGAAGCATCTGTCACAGGATGTGATGCTCGCTTAAAGCTTACAGGGACCAAAGCAACTGGTGAAATGCCCATGAGATGAATTGGTCAGGCCTGCTCAGCTACAGGGCTGTAGCTTCTGTGGTTCAGGGACTTCTAAATGCAAACAGCTGGAAGCTGGGAGAGTGACACTGGGAAGTGTGAGTGTGTGCTCGTCCTGACCTCGTGCTTTGCCTCTGCTGTCTGCCCTGGCCCATTCTCAAGGCAGACCTGACTGTGAGAAGCCTTCAGGAAGGCGTACGTGGTCTGGTGTCTGCCACTTCCCCATGAGAGGAGCCTGCAGGTGTGAGCTCCTCTCTGGGGTTTGTGCCCCTGCTGGGAGTTGCTTTACCATGTGCCTTCCAGTTCTGGAGCAATTGGGGCTGTTTTATGGTTTTAGTTTTGGGGGGGTTTTTTTGTTTGTATTTTTGTTTGTCTGTGTAATGCATGTTTTGGGGAAATAAAACTGCCTTTTTTTTTTTTCTGTCTAACTGACCAAGAGTTTGGATTCATCCCACAGACGTGGTGCCTCCACAGAAACATCCTGCTACCCTCCCTACCTCTACTGTATCTTCTAATGAAGAGAACAAGGACATTGCAGACCCAGACAAGTTCTGTAGCCTCTGCCATGCCACTTTCAACAACCCCCTTATGGCAAAACAACACTATGTAGGCAAGAAGCACAGAAAGCAAGAAACCAAACACAAGCTGATGGCACGCTATGGCCGAACTCCTGACGCACCAGCATCGTCCTTCCTGGGTGAGTTCTCAGCAGGCAGGCTGGTAAGGAGCTGGAGAGCAGGGTGGGAGAGCAGCAGTGTGCATCTGACAGGTCTCTGAACGAGGGATTCTGTGCGGAGGGAGCAGGGGAGGATTGCCCATGGTGAGGATCTTGGTGATGCCCCGTAAGATTGACCTGGTTGCTACTGTAATTCCTTGGCAGCAGGAGAGGTTTTTTAGACTGTAGCTGCTGGTGAGGAACTTTGAGATGTGTTTTGCAACGCTGTCTCATCAAGTACGTGTCCTTTTTACTCTCTGTGCAGATAATCCAGGGATTTTGGCCAGTGCTGTTTCCAGCTAGGTGGATTGCATCCAAAATGGAAAGATAAAAGTGGCATTTGATGCTTAAAAAATGTCTGAGGGACTAGGCAAAGATGGAAGAAATAGGTTTAACTGCACCTGCTGCTTCAAAGCGCATGAAAGCCAGAGAGATTTCTCCCTGAATGCTTTCTGCCTCTGTGTGGGCACTTCATCTGATGAACTAATGCAACTCCATCCGGAGCAAGCAGGAATGTGGAAAAAATTGAGCTATTAAGGAGGAACTTTAGGCAGACAGTTAACACTCATTTGGTTTATGATCTGTTCCTTATGAGTGCTTCTGTATGATGAAAGCCCTTGCAGTCCAGTGAAAGCATTAGGAGCTCACAGTGAACTCCCTTGTTCTTTCTAGCATCCTTCTGTTGGACCAGGAAGTGTGTAGTACCCTGCTGGATGCTTCAAGTATATAATAAGCAGACAAATCATCTTAAAATCTTCTTCAAGGGCTTCTTTCTCTGTCATAAAAATGCCCGTAAGCAGAAGATTAATTATTCTAATTCTTTGCGGGCCACCTTTAGCTACTGGTAGCACTTATGAGGAATTAAACTCAATTATCCCAGTAATATTCTCTCCCACATCGTGTAGTCATGTGGGAGATGGAAAAGGTGCTTCATATCTTGTGTTGCCCATCTGCTCTTTACCTAATTAGCGGGGCCTGATCAATGGTTCCATTTTGTTGTGACTCAGGCTGTGGAGCCCCAGCCCAGGCTGGGTGAGCAGGCAGTGCAGTTGCCACGTGATTGATGCGATTTGTGGAGAGCTTACAGAGCTGGAGTGTCTCCATCCACATCTCTGTGTTGCTTAAGCTGTTCCAGGCGAGGTTACAGAGCTGTGGCGTGGTGTGGAGCTGTTCTGGTGGGACGGGCTGCACTCAGGGATGTATTTTCCTGCTCCCTTTGCCTGTCTCTATGTGCTGGCAGCCATGCTAAGCTGGCATGCCAGCGTAGTTCTTCCCAGCCCAAACTTCTCGTTCTCTCTTACAAAACCGGGCTTGAAATCAGACTTACACTTTTGTCAAGGCTCTGGTCTCTGAACATACGTTCCCTGTTGGGATCTGGCCCTCGGCAGATGAAGATGTGTCATTGATAGCAGAGCCAAGATGCCTTTCTGCTTAAAGCTCCTCCGGGAGCCATTCATGTGGGGTGCTGGAGTGTTCCCTAAATAACCTGTCTACCTGATTTTCAGCAGGGATATCTTGACCTCAGTTGTGAAGGGAGGTGGGTGTGAGGGCTGTGACGGCTCCTCCGGCCCTTCGCATCCGAACCCAGCCGTTCTGAGAGTTAAACGGTGCCCACTGGAGTCTGAAGTCTCTGTGGGCAGCAGCCAGATGGGGAGGCGTCTGCTGTGCCACGTGTGGTGCTTCTCCCTCAGTGGTTATGCTGCTCTGCACCCCCTGAGCGAGTGCCCCCTTTCCCCTTAAGGAAGTGTTTACTTTGTGAGACTCCCAGGCAGAGCCCTTCCCCAGAGAGCTGGAATTGAGGAGCACGTAATGCTGCAGGGATGCATGCCAGCACTTTCCCATTACGGGCTGCTGTGGCCAGCTCTGCTGCTTTGCTTGCTTGTCTGCTATCCGACCCCCAGGACTCTCATTCCAGCAGGAGCTGTGGTGACGCACAAACCACTGCTCTGCCTCCTGCCACTATTGTTAGAAGCTGCTTCTTTTTGCAGTTAACTGATAGCTGGCTGTACCTGAAGGGCCTGAGGATAGAGTTTAGTATTCCCAGCTGGCACCTCAGCAGGGCTTAGCAGAGCACTGCGCTGTGGAAATTGACGTTGTGTATAATCTCCTCTGGCTGCTTTTTCTTTTTTTCTTTTTTTTCTTAATTGAAACATCAAATGTACAGATTTACTGCCTCCCTTGATTGTTTTTAGGAGATGTACGGATCAGGAGAAGTGGGAATTTTGGAGAAAAGTGGAGTTACAGAGGCAGTAGAACATCAGGTTTGGTGTACTAATTGCTGAGTTTTCACCTCATCTGAAAGTGTGAAGTGGTTACAGGAAAGGTGTGTTTGGTTTTGTAGATAACAGACCCATGTTCTGATCGGGAAAGGTTTTTTTTTCTGGCTCTTTCCCTCTTACCCAGAGGCTGACTGATATCTGGCAGGGTATGGGATCCCGTGATCCCTGCCTGGTCAGGCTATTCATGTGCTACTTGCTTTGTTTAGCAGTTATTTAACACATCAAGTGATCGATTATCTCACTTGTTTCTACCTCAGGCACCAAGTTGTTGGCTAGCTGTGCTGTGTGTGTTAACATTGATGTCTGTTTCAGCTGGGAAGGGCTATCCCTGCAACACGTGTAACATAGTACTGAACTCCATAGAGCAGTACCAAGCTCACATCAGTGGCTTCAAACACAAGAATCAGTAAGTAACTTTCTTGTTTAACTATGTCTCTAGCCTTGCTTTTCACACTGTTTTCAATATAGCTTTAATGCAGTTTTGCATGTGTATTTCAAGCTGGCCCTTGCAAACAGAACAATATTTGTGCAAGCCCGTGCTGTTTGTTCTGAAGCCAATTAACTGGTGTAGGTTTGCACCCCCTCAGCCTCTTCAGCAGCTCCCTCTGCAGACAGCTCAAGGATGCTGCTGCAGCAAAAGTGCCTTTCAACTGCTTTCATTTCTCAGAGGTTCAGGTCTGCGAGGCCCCCTGCAGTGAGCACATCCATCCTGATTCTTGTTGAGCAGCTCTTCTGTAAGAACCAAGATGTGAATTAAAGCAAAGTGTGACGTAGCGGAGGTCAGCTTGGCATTCTGGCCTCTCTTGGAGCTGCTTGTTCTAAAATTTGGCACGTAGTCAGCACGCTCCAGAAACCTAGAATGTATTTCTGAGCTGGCTCTCCAAACTGGTGAGTTAAACAAGATAATCCCAATATTGGTCATCCTCTGCCAGGGAAATGATTAACATCACACGTACTTATTCTGGACAATGGCAGAGTTCAGATCTCTGATTTCAAAGCATTATGTTAAGGAAGGTTGATAACTGACCTGGGGTGCTGAGACAGCTGAGAAGCTGGTCAGTGAGTTGGAAGAAAGAGGTATTAGGAAAAACTGCCTGAAGTGGTGACCAAATTTCCCAGAAAGACCAAAAGGGAAACTGGAATCTTGCATTGCATACCTGTGGAATAGCAGCCCTGTTACACTCTTGAGTATTTGATTGGAAGGCATAAGCCTTGTCTGTCCCTTTGTGAAGGCCAGCTCTTGGAAAGCACAGCAGGATCAGTGGATGACAAACGTCTGGCCTGAACTGATCCCGTTCTAGAAGGATAACACTGAAGGCATTCCCAACATGCATGCATAACCGCCCACTTTAAGGACATGGATGCTGTTCCAGCCAAATAACTCCCTTTCAGAAAGCTGCTTCTGGATTTTGCTGTTAAGTCGTGTTCCAGGCCAGCTTCTGCAGTCTGAAAGGAGCCAGGATACTTGCTTTGTAGTGGAAGCTCTTCACGGTCCTTGAGCTAAGCAGTAGCTAGTTCTGCCGTACTAAAGGTGTCTGTTTACACACACAGAGGGTAAGAATCCACTCAGAAGCTTTTCTGGCAAGTTGTTGACTTGTCTATAGGACTCTGCTCTGCTGGCAGCCGTGTTTTCTGGGCACTGATTGCAGCTGACAGATTTCAGAGCCATTCTGACACTGTCTCCTTTTTTCCCTTCTTTTCCTCTTTCTCCCTCCGATGCCCAGGATGCCAGGAGCAGTGCCAGTTGTAGGACCATTCCCACCACAGCAGTATGTCCGGGAAGAAACAACTGCTCCAGGAGGCTACAGTTACTTCAGCCAAGACTTCTAGAGCAAGTTGCAGCACTGTTCTTGGAGTTGTTGACGGCCAAGAACACGCATCCTTTGCCAGCCCACAATGGTTTCATTATCCCTCTGGATAAGCAAAGCCCTACCCTCCTGTATGCACCCGTTGAGCAGAACAGGGACTGAATCTGTCTGAAAAAGGATCCAGCTGGAAGAGACTTGGTAGACAGCAAATACTTCACTCCCTTAGAGTAGTTTTCATTGTGTAATTGCTTCCTGTAAAGGTGGGTGCGGTGTGAGAGGAAGTGTGTATCTGGTATAAGGAGAGTCTGGCAACAGGCTGGTAACATCTACCTCCTCCCTTACCAGAGCAAATAGTGGATTCCTGCACCTGGAGGCCAGCAGCCCACGCTTAGAGGTGTGAATGGGACACCTTGTGGGTTGTTTGGCTTTTTGCAGACCTCACATAGGAAATGGCAGCGTGGCATCTCTTGTCGTGACTCCTCTGGGCAGGTTTGTGTGCAGAACTCCTTGAGGCACTGATTGCCATCAGAGCCTCTCTCAGTACTGCAGTTCAGGAGTTGTGTTGTTTGGTGTCTAACAGGTAGTTGTGATTTGTGGTGTTCAGTGCTGCTGGTGGGAGCGGAGGGCTGATGGAGGAGTTCGAGCTCTTGTTTCTCCAGGCAGCTCAGCCCTCTGCTCTGAGGATTTCCACGTGGAAGGAAGAAACAGTTTAGCCTGGTTTCCTATGGAAACAGGTGTATGTGATCATTCACTGTGTGTGTCTTTACCCCTCATAACTTAAAGTAATCTCAAACTTGGCAGTGGTGGAAATCTCCAAGACCCAAATGCAATCAGCAGAGGAAGGTGAGCAGGAAGAGTCCATCTTGGGTTCTGTGAGGGTCTGTGCATAAGTGCA